TATACATATATACATATACATACACATATATACATATATTTATATATATATATATATTTGTGTGTATGTATTACATATCCGAATCAAAGTATACCTTCACACGCTGCGGCAGATTAGCCGCACCAGCATCCGGCAGGAGATTGGCCAGATCGTCTGTCCGGCAAAGCGACTCCATGACCTTCAGACTCTCATCGAAACGTCGGCGTACAGTGCCGTCGGCTGTCCTGGCCATGTCTAGTTTGTTCCGCATGCCGCGGCATTCGTCGTGGAGCTCTTTGGACACTTGTTCTGAGGGTGCGCGACTCCATTCACTCATATATTGCTGGCGCAGCTGGTTGTCCTGGAGAGTTTAGTAGACCGACATGAATCGTGTAGATGTTAGACGCTGTTTAATTGTGTATCGAGCTATGAATGCCTTGGTCTCAGTGGCCACCAAGCAAGGCAACAGCTTAAGTGAACGTGCGTAAAGCACAGTTGCATGTCTCTGATTGTGTACAGTTCTTTGGACATTTATACTGAGGCGCCCGTAGAATTGATGGTAAGCACTCGGTCGTTAAAAACTCCACGCTTAAGAACGCATTGGATATGCATTTGAGAGTGTTTTGTATATCAACTTGACAGTTCTTTAATTAGTCACTTGTGGATACTCTGAGTACTCGCTTCGTCACGTTCCTTATTGTGCGCAACCACCAATAGGGCCCCACAAAGTACAATCCAATTGCTACCATTCAACCTCAGTGAAACATATAAAATCACACGCTCCTTGGGTTAACACACGCTTTCTCCTATACCCCACCCTGTCTATACCTACCTCAGTAGCCTCAGCTGACAAAATGCGGTCGCTTTCGTCCAGAATCAGGGCATTCTGGTCATAAAGATTGCGCATATTGTCCAAACGATCCCGAATTCCGCTCACCCCGCCCTTTGACCGAGCGTTCTGTGACCTCTGCAGAAGACTTTCCGGGACACCCATTGGCTGTTCCAGGGCATCCAGAGCAGCCGGCATGGCAATCTCTTGCAATTCATTGGACCCCTTTTTGAGATGGTTGTTAATCTGTAAACGGGTGATTGGTGGGAGTTGGTGGTGCACTAGCTTAGTGGCTGGAGTGTGATTAAGTGCTGTTAAAACTAATACTGAAGATTACGTACACTCGCGGCGCCCAATACTGCTTTATCCCTCAACCCCGCATACGTTGATATGACACATTAGAAAGACGTCTTACTTACTCATCGCAGCCCTGGTTGAAAAAGTATTTGTACACGATGGTATAGGTGATCTTCATAGAATAGATCGAATGCGTAGTAGATAACGGCTTCTGATCATACCCAACTCAAGCACGCCTTTTTATACCTACGACTGAGATACATGCAGACAAGGAATTGGAAACAAGAGTATTTGCTACCACAAAGCACGTTATAGGATCAACACCAACGAATCTTTCGTATGGTGCTTGAAAAAAGTATCAGAAACCGGATATAGCTGCACCTCGCTTTTAAACAGAACCGTATCGCTCTAAGCAAAAGTATATTCTTAAACAAACCTGTATTTAAATAAAATAAAAGCATATACTTACATACATGAATACATATATTCAAA